AAAAAAAATGTTCAACAAAATTAAAATTTTTTTAATCAATATTTTTTCAACACTCATAAAGTAGTAGCGTTTCTAATTATGCCGCCACCACTGCAAAACGTAAATAAAAACACTGTACATACACCAAGAAGCAAATAAAAAAAAAAATACTTATGTTCTACAGTACCTACCGAAATTCTAAGTATGTAGTTTTTATCTGACCACCACTGTATACATATGCCTGAGAAGTATTTGTGTGGTAATTATTTCATGTCTGCCATTTCATTACATTTTTATTATGAAATCAATTCTTTCTTTACATTATCTGCATAAAAATATTGTCTTCAACGATTTCTCCATTCTCTAACGTTGTAATTTTCTAGCAGCCACGCGCATAATTGAAGTTATTCGCGTCTCTCACCGTTTAGTCGCCTTTCGGCATTGACTGCCATTGAACTTTTGATTGTATTGTAATGAAGTAGTTATCGTTGTTATTGTTATTGTTGATGTGATGAAAAAACCGTTGACAAAATCTTGAAGTAATCAGCATATAGCGTTCATAAGTATTCGTTCTTTTCGTATTTTGTAACAACACAAGCATTATACGCTATCCACTAAAGCTACACAACTCAACATTTTATTTTTCAAGTAAAAATGTGCTTTTCATTTAGTCGGCTATATTGAGTAGAATCTAGAGTAGAATCTTCAAAATGCGGGAGAGTAACATAAAATAGTACCCTTGACATTGTCTTCATTGCATCCCTAGCGGATAGCAATAGAACCTGGAACCCGCGGACTCTATTCAGTTCCACCTTGATGGATGCAAAATGGAGGGGAAGTGCACTCGGAACAACTAGAGGAAAGTCATTGCGCCTACCGGACTACTGCAGCGTCTTTCAATCCAAATGCTTAAGGACGGAAGCATCTTCTCAGACAGCGGCTTTAAAAGCACTGTGGATTCGGTCACATGCACCTCGCAAACTGTGGTGACTTGCCGCAGATCACTTAACCTGTTGGAAGAGTAGTCCACTCTTCGCCTGGTATGGGTGCCGGGATACAACGGCATGTATACCAGGCATTGATATGACGAATGAGCTTGCAAGAAAGTACTCTTCCCTTTCGCCTTCGCCGTCTTGGAAGAGGTTGAGCTAATTGCAAGCTCAGGTATTCTTCTTCTCCAAAGCAGGGGAAAGATGGAAACAGCTAGAAACCTGCAACACGTCAAAAATCTCACGTGGCCGCAAAGGGATGTGAAAAGGTCGGGGAAGTTCTTGCGGGCCTGCTGACCAGTCACATCACTTGGAGAGACTCGCCATGCTCTTCAACGACTTCTGCAGGAACTGCATATACGAGAAGAATCAGTAAAAGCTTAAACAGACGGCAGCGTTGATACGGATTAAGTCGGACTTAAGCTGGATTTACTGCAGTTAATTCCCGAGTTGATCCGGATCAACGCTGCCGTCTGTCTATGCTTTTAGACACCTATTTTGCTATTGTCCGCACTGGGAAGGACCAGACTTCATGGACGCTGGGACCACCGGAAATCTGGACGATATAGCGGGCATAAGTCGATTGCTCACTCCATTTCCGAGACTTTCGAGAAAATCTATCGTTGCCCCATTGGGAGATAATATTCAACTACAATCGCAATCTCCTTTTCTCCTGGCGCCGATATATAGTTGGTGGTTTTTACTAAACTTTCATGGTGACAGGTAATAAGATCAACGGAAATAAGGTCAATTGACTTTATTTCCCACCCTGGTGCGAAATAAAGTCAATTGACATTATTACCTTTTTAAAAACGAAATAAAATCCATTGACATTATTTCTCTTTCAAACATTAAATTTGCTTAGCTTCGCGGCGGCCCGCATCAGCGCGCCACACCGCGCGCGCCGCCCTCGCGCTCGCGCCCCGCGTACCCCGCGCGACCGTCGCGCACACCACGTCACGCTACGCCGCGGCCCCCCCCGGCCCCCCCTTCCCCGTCTTCCACCGTTCTGTATCGCAGGTAGATTTATTTTTTGTATACGTTGAAATAAAATTGGTATATATTTTAAACATCGAGGGCTTATATTCAATAATACCCTCTATCTGCAAACTTTTTACAACGATG